GGCAATAGATGTTAGCTCAGAGCCGGTCTTCCTCAGCAAAAAGAGGAGGATTAGCATGGATGTTAGCTCAGGGCTGATCTTCCTCACAAAAAATAAAAATAAAAACAAAATGTAGAATTCCAAATGTAGAATAACATAGAACCTGATGCCTTAAAAGACTCCTTTTACAACACTGTAACTAAACAACAGCACTAGGCTCAGGGAGATGCTGGGACTCAGTCACTGCAAGTCTCTAACTGGAATGCAGGGCACCTAAGCCACCCTGGGGGAGGTACGGGCACAGCCTCCCCATCTCTCCACCAGCTCTGACCAACCCTAGACAAGCAGCAGACACGCGCTCTTCTGGCCTCTTCCTCCTCCCCCACTGAGATAAAATGGGAGAAGGCAGTAAGATAAAAGGAGAACGCAAGGGGTTCTGCAGAAAAGATGCTAATCAGCTGTCAGGGCCCTCCCACCTCTCCCCTGGGCCAGTGAAAAGCCACAAGCCCTGCAGCCAAGGGCCCCAGACCCTGACTGGCCCCAGGCTCCCTGAGCTCCTTAAGCTTGAGTTAGCTGGGGCCCATTCCTCCTCCCTCTCCCCACGAGCCTCTCGAAGCCCTAGCCCCCCAAATTCTCGGTCCTTGAGTATCTAAAATCAAATTGCATACCTTTTTCTCCCACACCACCAGATCCCAACTAAGACCAATCCGACAGTTGTGCTAACCGCCTACTTTAGCAACAACAGAGGCTGGTCTCTGACACCCTGAGCCTTGAACCATGAGAGGGATGCCAGCCTCTGACTTCACTAGCCTCCGACAAGAGCAACCTCGGCCTTCCCCCCCACCAGCGACAGTAGCAGCTCCTTAAAGTGTCCCCGAAGTGCCCCCCTCCTGCTGGTTCTTACTGGATCCCTCTTTGCCCCACTTTCCCAGTCCTGCAGGGCGGGGAGTCGGGCTGCTGACCCCTCTCCTCGGACTCAGCCACAGTGAACTCGCCCGAAACGCCTATTTCAGCTCAGCGTGGGGAGCCGTGACCCGCTAGGACTTGCCCACCGCCCAGGGTGGAAACAGCACCAGAGCCCCGGAGCCTCAAGACCCAGAGCAAGTCGATCACGCCCCCGACCCCAGACCCAGAATGCAAAGGCGTACCCCGTGCCCTAACCCCGCTCGAGCCCCAGACAAACCCCGGGCCCCGCAGAGAGGCCCCGGCCCGCCGCCCCCCACCCCTGCACCCCGGGCCCCGCCCCCCGCGGCCCTGACCTTGCCGGAGCTGGGGGTCGTCCAGCACGTTGTAGGCCGCGTAGTCGCGGACGCCGTGCAGCCGCAGGATCTGCACCACGGCGTTGCTGAAGCCGCACTGGGGCTGCTCCGGGGTCCCCTTGAGGAAGACCACCACCTTGTCCTTCTTCACCATCGCGTCCAGCTGCTCCGCCGAGCCGCCGCCGCCGCCCGAGCCCGCCGCCCGGACGCCCG